CAAGAGGCGATGGACCATTTCAAGTGATTGCAAGGATAAACAACAACACATACAAGTTGGAGCTTCGTGGTAAGTATAATGTTAGGATTACTTTTAATGTTTCTAATCTTTCTCCTTTTGATGTAGGTGACGATTTGAGGACAAATCCTTTTGAAGAGAGAGGGAATGATGGAAATCAAGATAACCCCACATGTACCACGTCAAGAGATTCATTACACATTTTAGGAGGTCCAGTCACAAAAGCTAGAGCTATGAAGATGCGAGAAACTTTAAATGGCCTTATTGAGCAGATCTAGGTTGATAACAATGCGCAACAAGTAAATCGAAGGTTGAATGATTATCAAGGCATTGTAAACATCATTCAAGTTCAAGAAAAGCTTAATTGAGGTCATTTATGCTAAATTACACAGTTTGCGTCAAAATCCCACAATTCTGTCGCAATTTGTAACAAACTAATATTTCATGTTATTTTAGGTAACTTTCAGTGATTTTCACGTTTTTTATATTATTTTGGACTAAACATTCATTTATTTGAAGCCCAATTCATGGTTATTAGCATTAAGGCTTAGGGTATTAGTTTTCTATTCTGATTAAAATTATTTTTCCCTATTTAAATGGCTTGTAACCCTAATTGGGGGCAGCTATTGAATTTGAGTTTTGAAAGACTTTTCTCTTTGGTTCGTTTCAGAACTTTACAGAACTTATCAAAATTATTCTGGTGGCATTCTAACCTGACTTATCATTCTTTTTTTTAATCGTTTGAGGGTGTGGCATCAATCAACTTTATACCTCTAGTTCTTGTTGCATCATAGACAATGGGCCAAGGTTTTTACCTTTGGTACTTGTTGCGACATAAACAACGAGTCAAGGTCCTATTATAAACTTGATTTAGCTTTCCTAGAGTTTAGAAATCCCTTGTCATGTTGTGGGTCTCATTGTTCTCTTTGGGGTTCTCATCAATTATTTTTTGCATCCTATATTTATTACTACACATTCCTCGATGACAAATGTCATATGGCATACTAACTTCTCTTTAGGCTCATTAAGTAGGCCCAACTAGGCCTAGCCCAAATCCTTTCAGTTACTTCAACACCTATATTAACACCAAAGTATTTTATCTCTAATTTTTACTTGGCAGCAAAAAACACATGGCTACAAGTCATGCATTTTTACTTTGGCTATTGCTAAAAACACATGACTACGTGTCATGCACTTTTACTTCGGCTATGGCCATAAACATATATGTGTCATGCATTTTTACTTCGACTATAACCAAAAACACATGACTATGTGTCATGCATATTTTACTTTGGCTCCGGCCAAAAACACATAACTTCATGTCATGCATTTTTACTTGGCTACGTAATTCATTCTTGTAATAACCTTGGTCTATACACACACTTATTTTACTATTTCATTTTACTACCCAGTTTAATCATTCATAAGTGAATGACTCGGGAAGGGGGAATAATGTAAGGGTAGGTTCGAGATCACTAATCTCAAATGTACTGTGTATTTGTTAAGCTCGACCCTCTCCCCAATTTGTTGAGTTTAGTTATTTAATAACCGAGGTGAGGTTTAACTCGAACCCTTCCTAGTTGCATGACAATTATAATGAGCATGCCCTCACCCAATCCTCTGTTCCCAAGATCATTGCCCTATTGGACACGTCTGATCCAAATTATCTCGTTAAGTAGACCACGTGGATACTTCATTAAGACCTATAAATACGCCCAAGGGTCACCTCCAAAAGTTAAGTAAAACCAACATAAAGCTTCCCTTCCATTCTTCTTTAAGAGTAGACCAGATTATAACTAACTTAAGTATCGAGAGTCTACCTTGAGGACCAACCTAGGGGTTTTGTTGGTCTATCCAAAGAGAAGGCTTGGACTCAAAAGGAGCTGCTAGTTCGTTGCAATTACAAGTGTACAGATTGCTAAACAATTTAGTTTTAGAATCATATATAGTTGGGACAGATTATCTGTTTCGAAATAACATGAATTAATTAGTATACTAAATTTCAAACAAATAATTGGTCCCAAACTTAATGCAATTGACCACCTTTCGGGCCATTGTTGGGATGGATTATCCGTTCGTAAAACAATATACCACGGATGATTCAGTAATTCGTTTAATTATTCTTTTGAGACATGAGTTGTGCGGTCATATGATACAAATTGATTATCTGTCTAAAAAGTTAGCTTTTGAGACGAATTATAGCTTTTGGGAAGGAACTGTCTGTACGAAAAAAATATTGTTTACTAGTAGTGTACGGTTGGGGGATTGAAAAATGAGTCTGGGGTGTTGGTTGGGTGGAATTGGCTGTAGGGTTTATAAGGTTGGGTTATTGTTGGAATGAGGGGGAATTCTTAATTGTACTTTTAGATGGTTAATAACTATTTGTAAAAATACCTCAATGAAGTAGTTTACTTAAAATTCAATTCCAAGTTTATGATATGTTAAGGGATCTAAATGATGTATTTTGAATTACAAATATTTTAAATTATATGTATTTTAAATACACACTCTAAATCCAAATATATATTTTCAAAAACAATCATAATAAATTATAAATGATGTTAATTGTTAGATGAAAAATCCTTTGCATCACATAATTTTGAGTGTAATTGAATGCAACCTATA